AAGGCTAACAAGCATACGGGTTTCGTACAAACAGGATTTCGTAAGGTTTGGTTTATATACGTTATATAAGGAAATCAAAAGAAACAATTTTTATAGATACGATATGTTTTGAATACGATATTAATTTATCTGAAGAGTGCTTTGTAATATATTTCTATCAAACTCTTGCTATAATAGTCGGTCGAAATTTTATAGAAACACTGCCTTAACTGCTTTCAAAAATAAACAAGAAATTAAGAAATAAGTGAACCGTAAATGTTCAAAGAAATGTTCGAAGGTCACTCATAGTTCAGTTCTATTAAAATGTAAAAAGGTGAACGGGTAAGATTTCATTTGTGAATTCAGTACATGTAGTGACTTCAAACTACCAAACAAAACTTTCAAAAAAGTCACTCATTTTTTCATAAACAAAACTAAGCTCGCTCTCTCTCTCTCTTTCTCCCTTTTTCTTGCTCTCTCAATACATTTGAGAATTTTCAAAAGTTATTTTTATTTACCAAAGACTCAAGTTTCTTCGAAACTCCTTAGTACTAAAACATTGTACTTTGCTCATAATACGTTTGCATATAACAGTTTTTAGCTCCATCTTGTACGCAAATATTTTTCGATTTTGTTATTGAGGTAAAAGAATAAATGAGAATAAATAAGAAGAAAATACTTCAAAAAAACTGCATTTTCCGCAAAATTCAAAACTTGTTCAATTGATACTACGGGGCAGCATATTATGCAATCAAAAATATATCAGTGGAAATGGAAGAGCAAGCATTCATTTTGTTTCTCTTACAAAACTGCTTTGACTACAAAAATGTAATGCATTTAGGTGGTTTGTGTCGTTGCATATTAATAGCATACCACGCTATACAAAAGTGACGCCTGACGTACGGCTCTCCTCAATAGAGTTTGATGGTTTTCCACTGACGTGATTGATTGAATTTGATCGTCTGAATTTTACAGGATACTCCAACTTCTCTTCGCTTCAAATTTTTTAGTTGACGTATTAAAAAAATTCTGGTTTAAAAAATTCCAAAAAATTTCTTCTGTTTTCAATCGGATTCGTTATACCTGTCTTTGAATTCGCTATGCCTTTCTTTGAATTCGCTACACCTCTCATTGATTTGTAAACAATTTCTTCTCTTTTTCATTGTTAATAGATGGCAGCAGTCCTACCACAAGTTTGCCGTACTCTTTGAGACAAAATGGTAACACATTGTGATGTAAGTTTGTTATATATGTATTACATACTTACAGTGTAGAAAAATGTTAGATTGTTGCTTACTTTTAGGGATTTTTTTACTCAAAGCAATTTGTAGTTCTTTAATATAACAATAGATAGCAGAAGACCTAAACTGGAGCATGAAGAAATGAAATATAGTTTCGATTATTCTTTTTCTTTTGCTGTCCATATGAATTCCTATTCATTAATCAGCCGACATTTTTACTCTACAAACATTGTTAATTAATGTGACAGCTAATAGTAAGCTTAGGATCCAGAGGTTACATATAAATACTTGTCTTCGTTATTCCAATTGGGGAGTGAAATACGCTTTACGTTTACAAGGACAAAAGATTGACTGAGCTTTTTGTCCATTAAGTGAAACCTTCCGCTTAGGTTGTGTGTCCTGGTGCTTTTAGCATTACATTGAATACGTGAGTACTATAGAAAGGTTTTTGTTACAGTTGTTGGCAATTCCGGGAGCGATGATTTAATAAACCCTATGATAAATTTAGTATTCTCTCCATCTTTACCATTTCCGAAAATGAAGAGAAAATAAAAAGCAATTTGTAAAAAAATCTATCCGATGCCTACAATAACACTAAAACCTGTTTAATTGTTGCTGGTTTGAAGTGATATTTCCATTCATACTGAGGTAGACCAACAAGAGTTCCACGGAAAAAGGAAAGCTTGGCTGTATGTCCTTTTATTTGCCAATTGCCATCTGCCATAACAGAACTGTCAAAATCCAGTCATGAGCGGATTAGCTGAATAGCCAATATATATATCAATATGTAAATCTCATTTTCGGACGATTGAAACAAGCACAATTAATCATTGCCGATAATATATCAAACTAAATTTTATTTATTTGTTGTTGTTGTTGTTATTGTGATAAAGAAACAACTAGGCGGCCGAAATGGTGCATGTATACGACCATATCTCAAAACAAAACATGATAAAAAATGATTTTTTCACCAAACACAAAAGTCGAGAGATAAACTTCTAAATCAACCACCACGAGACACTTGAGCAACTAAATATTTGTTAGATAAGATTCTTTTAGAAATTAAATTCGATAACGGAATGAAAATAATCGCTTTTATGGGTTCCTTTTATCCCCTCGAACATACTGCTTGCACAAATCCAAATGAAAATAATTTATTTTCTAACTTGGAAGGGCTTCTATTGCTTGTCAGCCACAGACATCACGTTTCCTCTCTCGTTCTTGCTTTTTTGAAATTCTTTTTTCATTGAAAGTGCCCAATCTTCGGCTCGAACAACTACAGTATTCTAGATCGAGGAGGAACCCCCTTATAAGATATTCAGAGCCGTCAAATAAAAAATTATATTTTGATCATAATTCATGCAACTTAGCAGTTTGTAGAAAGTGTGATTTCGTGTTTACTTATACGCATCTGCTTTTCGAAATACATTACCTAAATCAAATTAGAGCATCTCGACCTCAAATTTGGCAGAAACATTGAAGGTATATATTAACGTCGTGTGTTCAACTCGATATTAACTTTGAGCATTCTTTAAATGATTTTAAGAGAAAATTGCCCTCATTCCGCGTTAAGATTTGAGAAAAAAAAAAAATTCAACTACTTTGCAAAATTTACTATTTCATCGAATTAATTCGCAAAGCGTTACTCTTCAGCTTAACCTTAAAAATAGGATGAAGTCCTCGCTTTCATTTTCCAAATTTTCTAAAATCAATTTCAATCTTTTAAGCCATGCCCTTCTGTTATCTTGCAAAATTAGTTTTTGTGGCAGCGAGTTATTATTAGTAGTAATCTCTCCAGAGAAAAAATCAAAAATTCTGATGTAAAAAACATGGCTAGCTCGAGAAAAAGAAAATAAACCTTTCGTTCGCGTATTTTCCGTAGTCGAGCTACTATGGTAATAAACAGCAAAAAAAAACACATGACTTGCTTAGGTTTTGGTGCGTAAACAGAATTCGTTTTTTTTTTTTGTTTGTCAATGCGAAAGTGTACGAAGCTCAGAACTTGTAGGCATCCGCCATAGAAACTAAGTGCGTTCTAATGTTATACATCCACACACACATAACCATCTCATGTTTTTCACATGTGAGTTGAACTCACTACTTAATGTGAAAATTTGCTGTGAATGAAATTAAAAAAGCAACAAGTTAATCAGATTTAAAATATCTTTTTTTTTTTTTTTATATTTGAAAATAAAATTATATATATATTTTATTATATAATTTATATATAAATTATATATAAATTATATATATGTATATGTATTACATATGTATGTAGCTGAACAAATTTATCCTTTTTATATATAGTTTATTATGCCTGGACACACACACATACAAACATATGTATATGCATATATACATTTGATGTGTATATTTAAATGTTCTTCTAAGCAATATATGGATAGAAACAAACACCAATAAACTATTGCTATTTATTGAAATATTTACATAGGCATTTTATGTTATAATATTCATATGTGTTTTTAATATGTTTGTTGATTAAAACTAAAGTTAAATAATCAAACAACATCTCTTGGAATGATATTATAATTAATCACAGAATCATATACTTATTTTTTGCCTTTTTTTTTTTCTTTTTTTTTTTTTTTGTTAAGTATATGTTTAAAGTAGTTTTTTTTTTTTTTTTTCATTTCTTCTAGCATGTATTCCTGTGCAATTGCGAACAATGGCTTATATATTGTGTATTTTCGAGTAACATACAAATATAAATAAATTATTTATATAACTCTTGTATGGTGTCGTATATGTAAATTGATAAAAGGTGCGCTATTTTCAAAAAGAACTCATTTTTTGTTGTCTTTTTTTTTTTTTGTTTTGTTGTTTGCTTCTAGAAAGGATAAATTTTATATAAATTTTCAAATCTATACAAATTTCGATATATAAAATATCCTTAGATATATGTGCATGTATATACGCATACACATATACACACACACGCGCATGCATGCGTATATATGTTTAATAAGTTGATTTTAATTTTCGTTTATTATTACTGTGTGCCCTACAACGATAGCTAGTTGACTTTGTGTGTGATAGGATGAAAGTAAAGAAGGCAGAGATTTTAAGAATTGTTATATAGTTCTTCTGCGTTTATGCGCAATGTATGCAAAATATTTGTATATTTCTGATTTGAGTGTTTAAAAAATCCATTTACAATTTTTCATGTATAGTGTGATTCATTCGTGAAGTGCGAACAATAATATTAGTAATGATGAACACCGGCGATATTTGTGTTGATACTTTATTAAATTGTTAATTAGCTAGTTGTTGTTGGTGTTGTTGTTCTGTGAAAGATTATAGCACTTAGTGAGTGAATAGTGAATAGTGAATAGTGAATAGTGAAAATGAAAAACGAGCTTTTAGCCAAGGCTTATATAATTTTGATTTTTGTGCTATATTTTTAAAATTACTCATCATTGCTTTTCTGTTTTTCGCTGACGCAAAACGATCGTATGAATCGCTTCGAATAATTTTATTCATAATATTTTCGTTTAATGCTAAATTTACGTATTATTTGTGAGTAAGTACTTTCCTTTTTTCGGCTAAATGGGTTTCTGTCACGAATTCAACTTAAGTAAATATTATATTAATTTCAATTAATTAAAATACATATTATTTAGTTTTTATAGTTGTTTCTAAGCTATATATACCTTTTTTAAAAAATTAATTTATCTATGCCTTTAAATATCCGTGTTGATAACATTTTTTTCTTTTTTTTTTCTTTTTTTAAATTAAATTAATTAATTATTTTAAAATTAATTAATAAGCTTTTAAATACATACATATAATACATTTTGTACAAAAACAAATTAAGTATTAACAAAGACGGATGGTTAAGTAATTAGTAAATAACAATAATATTTGCTTATATATACAACAATATTTGCATATATAAGTATACAATACATATGTGTATACATATATATAGATATATATATGCGTATATATGTTTATATATACAAAGGTATTCTTATAGATCGAACTATAGTGTGAGATTTCCTTAGACTTGAATCGCCTCCCTGATCGTTGATCGATATATCGAATCAGATTATAATAAAATATTCTTCCAAAAAAGAGGAGCATATCGATGCCAGACACATTCGCATGTTGATGCATTTTGAAAGCATTAGTAAAAAATACAGTAAATACGGTATTCATGTAATTATTAGTATAAACAATTTTTTTTTTTTTGGTGTTTAGTAAATACGAAAACAAAATCCCAAGGTGAGGACAGATTACTTAAATCAGTTTCATTTAATTATGCGATAATATTCAAACCCAATTTGCTATCATACTTAATATATTCCAATAGACAATCCATTAATAATGCACAATCTACTGCCTTTAACCCTAACCTTGTCAGGTGGGCTTTTGAAGCTCACTTGAACTTAAATTTTTTGATTTCGTATCAAATTTTCAAAAGTATTTCCTTAACTAGGTTAACTAAAAAAAAAAAATAACTGTAAATTTGTAGGTATCACTTAGTCATGATATCAAAATCAACCTTTTCGTTTAGACAGTCACAGAGTCGTAAAGCAAGCCCTTATCTTGGACAGGAAGGTCCCAAAAAAAATTGGGATGATTAGGGTTAATGCCGTTTTCTGTTCATTATTAGTCAATTTTTAACCTTTTTCTATTTGGGTATTATTCCTTATCATAGGACGTAAACTATTGTCCACTATATAGCAATCGCGGTAGTCTTCATTCCTACCTTAAGATTGCATCGTCAGATACCAAAGACACATTTCAACAAATATATCTATAAATATTTTTATATACCCCTTTGTATATAAAATACACTTTCACATGTACAATTATACATATATATACTTTTTGTATATACAATATATATATGTATAGATATAGATGTATAAGTTACCCCAATTTCTATTGAAACACCGACATTATCTTGTATTCACCTTAGGATTCATCGCTGACGTTTACTATTTCAAATAAATTTTTCCTTTATGGTAACAATTACACGAAACTTTTAAAAAAAAACTTATCACTTAAGTGAGTACATTTTTTGAGTAAATCACAGTCCGATATTTGCTGTAGTCTTTAGGACATTTACTTGCATGAATCGCTTTTATTATTAAATTAACCGAAAAATAGGTGGGTGTAGGTATAGGCTGGTACGGCAAGTCAATTAAATATCCTAAGCTTCTCGGTAACTGAATTACAAAATATTTATATGCTCGCTTAAAAAAAGCATATAAGAGATAATGCCCAAAGCAGTCGACAAAAACCTCCACGATCTCCACGCGCGTACCGTAGCGTTGGTACACTTCATTCAATTTTCGCAGATTAATTCAATTTCCAATTTCAAATGTTATTAAAATAAAGTTATACTTCCAAAAAATGGTATTTTTTGAAAAAAAAATTTTTGTTTTTTTTAATTTAAGATCTTGTGAATGACTTTCGCAAAACTAATTAAAGTAATGTGAACAACTATCAGTAGACTCAGAACGCAACGGCTAGTACTGCACAATAAGTGCAAACAAATTGAAATGGGAGCAGAAAAAATTTCCTGAGAGGACGATAGGAGTACGACGCCATAATCCTTTTTTATATATTACATTAACGTTAAGAATTTTAGATTAAATCAAATCAGATTAAAGGCAAAGCAAAAGTAAATTAGTTGAGAAGAGGAAAGAATACAAAGGACGGGAGATAGTTCTGCAAAAAGACTTGATGGTATCAATTTCAAGGGCATTGAGGCTCACACATCTATAGATCATTGAAATTTATTTTTAAATGGTTATCTCGAGCACAACAGCATTTTTGCCTTTAGAAGTTAGAAATTTCCCAGAGAGATTAGTAACTTCACAATAGTAAAATATTTACAGTTGTAAACGAGATGGTTGTCCTGGTGCAATGAAGGGATTAGTGCTATGAGAAGTTCTAGTTGTAACTGCAGGCAATTCTGGAGATAAGGGTTTAGTGACCCCTGCCACCCATTCGGCATCGAAAGGATCATTTGTAGCGGGTACAGCGGTTAAAGATCGCGTACGTCCTGACACTGACAAAACTGGCGCTCGTTTAGCAACAGCTGGCGATGTACTTTTTACTACTTGGCCCAACCATTGGTCAGCTTTTGGCAGTGCTGCTTCCGTTAGAGCTACGCTTTCTGTACTAGTTGGAAAAGTTGGGGAACAAACGGCAACAGGCGAAAGAGAAATTGTATGCGGCGCTATTTTCGCAGTGGGCGTTACAACGCCAACACTGAAACTGCTAATACTATCATTAGAAATTGCCGCTGGAGAAGAAACCGCTTCCTCTGCTTGCTTATTGCCAGCAAGAAAGTTCTTATTAACGCTTAAGCTATTGAAACTGAGATCATCTGTGGTACTTGGTGAAGCCATTAAAACAGCATCAGTTTGGGATAATAAACTCAATCCTTTGCTAAGTTCTTGACATAATTGATTTACTGTGTCAGCTGTGGTCGCAACGTTGTCTAATTCTACTTGACCTAACTTAGCTGGCGATACTTCCGGAATAGGCGATACAGTGCGATTCGGAGTTGCTAAGCCCAGGTTTGTGCCTGAGGCGGCATTAAGGAATGCTTTCTGACGCTCGGCATTGGACGGAAGATCATTGATTCTCAATGACATTTGACGCTTGAAGGGCGACTGACTACCAATTGTGCTAAAAGCTCGAAACGAGCCTTGGCGCTCGAGCATCGTTGGTGTGGCATGGGGACGTTCGATCGCAAATGGATTAAAGGGTTTCGGTTGAGGTTTCACAATTGCCGAAGGCATATCAATTCCCCTTTCATTGTTAGTAAACATTTCCGTCATTGTTTGCTGACGAAACGATCCATTGCGTGTAAACGTTGAGTTTTTCGTATCAAACGTCATAGTGACGCTAGTAACACCATCGCGACGTTGCTTACGCTCTAAGCAAACGGCAAATGCACATCCAACGGCATGCGATAGACGTTCACCGGAATCCTTAATTGCTAAAAATCCATGACACATCCAGCGACGCGTGGTCCCGTCCCGGCAGATGTAACTAAAACCGCGTTCGTGATTGCGATCAGGAGCACAAAAGCTGACTTTCTCTATAGTTTGATCGACTATTAAGCCCTTAGTCTCATCATCTACAACCCGCAAACCATCACCACTCACATGAAGTAGGCCACGTACCGGACGTCGACGAGAATTCTGTAAATAAAATTTCCATTCAATACTAATGCATTAACTGAACTATCAAAGCTATTAATAAGATTGTTTTTAATTGAATTTATAACGACTTACACGCAAAACCTTGAGTGCTTCCTCACAAACTTGCATGCCACGTGACTCGAAAACCTCAACACAGCCTAAGTACTTTACAGCAAAGGAACAAGTGGCCGTACGGACAGCCTCCTCATCAGCTTGCCATTGATGAGGCTTTGAAGATTCAGGAACACGATCTTTTCTTCGACGAAATGAATCACGAAAGGACCGTCGCAAACGATCCATTTTCTTCGGAGATCTTTTACGAAAACGGAATGATGCTGACTTCTATAAAGCAAAATTTAAGATAGAAATCATAGTACACATATATATATATATATATATATTCTTATATCATAAGAAAAAAGCAAGTGCCGCTTAGTTCGAATTAACGAATAGAAAAGAAAAATATTCACATCTTTGTATCTCTGGCTAGGCACCATTGCCATTAGCAAGATGGAGAGTTCAGAAAATTTCGCAAAACATATACAAGTGACCTTAGAACACATTAATTGTAAATGTCGTTTGTGTGAATGTTGAACAATGGTTTACATTGTTGTGATGTGAATAAGAATATTTTGTAATAAATACTTACCACATTTTTTATATCGCCGAACTTTCCACGAGTAAATCCGTGTTCTACATCTTCGTGCGCGTGCGATGATGTATTTCCCATATCGATGACCTATATATGGCGCGAATCTTTCATAAAAAACAATTTTTTTTTTCTTCGCTTTTTCGCTTTTTCGCTTTCCCTGAACTTTCAATTTATTATAATATTACGGACATGTGCTCGCCTTACTTGACTCATACAATTTCAACAAATTTTCCACCGATTGCGAAGAATCACTTGGAATAAACGTTTAATTTACACACATACCTATGTACACTCATACATAAACTATATAAAACTATATTTTCCGCGTTTTCGATGTTATACTTGATGTTGTTATTGTTGCTTCTTTTTTTTGTTGTTGTTGTTAATTTAGCTAATCGAATTGATTCATTGATTGATTCTCTTACGTTAAATTGCGATTTATTGAAATATTTGTTTGATTTGACAGTAATTCAATTAAAAATCAATATATTTGTAAACAAACTGAAATTTGATGACGTCGTTATGACAATTATTGCTTATGTCATGAGATTGCTTTCACAAGAACTGCGTGTCGAAAAAGACTTTCTAGTTAAAGTGAAGTAAAATTCTAGCATTTTTGCTCACGTACGTACGTACGTTAACCTCGTGTGTTGGATACATTTTTTTTTTTTTTTTTTTAAGTAAACAAAGCCATATAGAAAATTAAGACCGGTTTATGATTACTAAGCCAAGTTGTTATAAATTCGCTTATTTATTTAACATTTTTATTTCTTTCTTTTACTTACTTATCACATATACGATTAATTTTTGAAATTTTCTACCGATTTATATAAGAAATTTCAAAAATCCTGAGAAACGTAAATGTAAAGCTATTTAATTTTCGATTTTATTCATTTATTTATTCATTTATTTATTTATTTTTTTTGACACCAAATTTTTGCGATGGCTTTCATATTCGAAATAGTATATTATTCATCGATATAAGTATATAGCAAACAGCGAGCAGATGAATATAAGCGAAAGCTTAAAAATCAAGGTAAAAAATTTTAAGCAAAACAAATGAAACGTGGTCGAAATGGATGTGACCCACCATTAACTACCTTCCACCACTTCGTTCAATACAGTTATTCTGATAATGATTTTTCAAAACAAGATCTCTTATGAGAAGTGATTCCCTCCGTGATATTTTCAATAGTGTTTCTTCTTGCGCCAAAACATGTCACTGTAATCAAATTGCCTAAAATTATGCGACAGACAGACGGACAGACAAGCTCTGTTCGATTCAGGAAGTGATTCGGAATTCATCGGCATAATAAAAGATAGGTCTGTTGTAAGTCCTTCTGGGTGTTACATACATTCACACAAACTTAATATAAACTTGTACCGCAAATGGCATATGGTATCAAAATAAACTATGCTTGTCTTGTTGCTTGTTGTATAATTTTAAAATAAAGTCCTTACAAACATGCTTTAGGAGCGTAGGCAAACTTATGAGAGACATTGAATGAAAAAAACAATGCAAAAATTATCTCAATTCATCGCCATAGCATTTAAATAAATATTTGGCAACAAATAATTCCCCTTTGGCGAATTCCTATGAGGCGAATATAATTTTTCGATTTACATAGAGCTTTCCCTTTTTTGTAATCGCATGCTGGACATGAAGGTCCTTTGCCTTAAAGCAACAATTATATCCTTTTTTTATTGCATACATTTCGTGTGGTTACAAAGGCGCTTCAACTCACGAACTTATTACTACAGTCAGTGATATAAAGAACCAGCCTATCGGTGTATAACAAAAAACTCTATGAAAATTTGATTGCCACGGCACTTGTCGGAATTCCGGTGTAAAAGGCCAATTGAATTTAATCACATTATATTACGAATAGTATAGTCTTGTATAGTGATTATCAAAAGAGGTATACAATGTATTCTTATACCCTACACGAATTGTTGTACAAGAGCGTATTAAGTTTGTGCGTATTAAGTATATAACACCCAGAAGGAGTTAACATAGATCAACTGTGTATTATTCAAGCTTGTCTGTCCGTTTGTCCGTCCTTTTTATCTGTGTTCAGTTTACAGGTCACAATTTTTACGATACCTTGACGAAATTTAGCACACTGACCTGCCTTAGCCCAACAATAATTCAATTCACAATTAGTGTCTAAGTTGATATAAGCATGTCTGTCTGTCTGTCCGTCTTGCTTTCTTATGTTTATCTTACATGACGCAATTTTTGAAATATCTTGATGGGATTTGGTACACCGACCGGTTTTGCTCCACGGGCGAATGCTATTGAAAACAGCATCGGATTCGAGGGCTAAAACAAAAAGACCTTACGAGTTATCCCGAGTAGTTGGCAGTCAGCATGTTAAGAGAGTAATTTTAATCGATAAGAGGAAAGAAGAACTTCAAATGCTCAACACCATCTAAATAACCCTATATATGTATAAGTGGGTTGCATAAAAGGTGAGAGAACAGCGTTTATAAAATCTTACATAATTGTTCTAACCAGTGAAAAAACTACTACATACATTAAGGTCCAATTATAAGTGACTTACATATAAGTCAATACGACGTAACTAGAACCAAAAATAAAACTTAGTGAAACTATTTGGCCCACGTTCTTATATACGTTTTTATGGCTTCAATTAAAATTTCGTGCAAATTAATTCCTACGTCAGTATAACAGTTTTCTTTTTTTTGCTTTGAGCGAATTCGATTAGCTTTTCTGTTCGTATATCCACCACTACAGGTTGGAGGTATAATCATTTTGTAAAATGTTTGCAACACTCAAAAGGATTCTCTGGAAATGTTGTAAAGCGCGTACACTCTTGACGAATATCAAATTCTTATTCGTTTTAATCGCTCCGATCGTAGCGTGTATAATGTATATTCTCCTGATCGCAAAAATGATAACACATGTGTTTCTAAAAGCCAAAAACTTGAGCGCTGTGTTCGTTACTTAAAACAACAGATACAACGATAAAATTTCCATATATGGAAAGGAATGATCCAATAGTATCCTATAGTAGAAAGATGCTATAGTAGAAATATATAAAAAAACCGCCACGCCTAACCGATATTATAGAATATGAAAATAAAGTTTTCTTCCTATTTCTCCTTTTATTCGAGTGTAAGAGATTCGGTTACAGCCGAACGGGATTGTTTTATTTGTTATACGTCCATCATACTGATTTTGTCAAAACTATTGCATCAGCTTGAAGAAAGCTTCAACGACTCCTCAAAGTATATTTATGTTCTTGACCAGCGGCGAATTCTAAATTAACCATGTCCGTCCGTCTTTATAACATCTGTTGTTAATGTTCTCCCGCGTAACCTAAACGTAAAGATATCGGCTTCCAATTTGAAATAACCCTGAGAAATTTTTGCACAGCGACTGATATTGAATACAGACGAAATCGGTTGAAGGACACTCTCACAATATCTCTAATTGCAAAAGCAAAAGAAAATTGTTTTTTTTTTTTGGCCGGTTACTTATAAAGTAGAGCAGATATAACGAGAAAATTTGTATTTATATGGAAAATATCGGTCTCGCCTGCTTAATGCAATACTAAAATAGCATTCGTATATCAATACGTTTGTAACAACGAAAGAGAAGTTTTAGAAAGCTTATGACATGTACATATTAGTGATTAGTATCGAATGTGAATCGCTCCAGACATGTTTGGCAATCCATCTGTCCATAGGTCCTTCAATTGCGGTGGCAAACGTATTCATGATCGCAAAACTTGGAATGTCTACTTGAGATAAACGATATAAATTTCTACTTTTACTTTAAAAAAATAGAAAAGTCAGCCAACCGCGCCCAACATTATAATTTTTTTCCTTTTTTTTTGAGACTTTTTTTAAAATAAGGGTAATGAGTGCAAAAAATTCGATGACAGCCTAAGATATTTTTCGTACCTCTTTAGTTTTGACTCTCATTTTGATATTACGGCTGAGCGGATAGTTTCACAAAGTATACGTAATCATAACGAAAGCTAAACGCAAGCTCTTGCTTCAACATTTTAAGGACTACTTATTTATAAAATTGTATTAAAACCGTAATGAGAACGAAAAATTTTTAATGCTTCCGTTTTTTTTCTCACGTTCTGCAAAGAAAAAAAAAACCTCTACAGTGTTATTGAGAAGTAAGCGTGTGCATGTGTTTTCTGAAACAACCCAAGTTAACTATTGACAGGATATTCACGTTTACTTTATCAACCACCACTTTATAATGCGTACCTACTATAGCGTATAGCTAGATGTATGCAAGAATACAACATCCAGAGAAGGTATGAAAATAAAAAAAAAAAAAAAGTAAATAAAGGAAAAATGCATTTTTTTTCTTTGCTTTTTAACATTTGCCTCTAAATTCACACACAATTCTCTCTATACGGTTTTTGTTTTTAATTCTCCAAGTTCTTTTAAAAGTGGAATAAAGCCATCGCGTAAGAAACGTAGTTTATAAAATACTTTTTTGTTTTTTTTTTTTTTGTTTTTTTCGAGACCTTCATGCATATGTGAACAACTGCTAGGATATAAAGGAATTTTCTAATGCGGTCTTCATTCTCTTAGCTTAATTTTATGTTGTGTATGTATGTGTTTATTGAATTAAAACATGGGAATAAAATCTTAACAATAGAAGATATTGTTTCACGGGTGATCTGCACTTAATTTACATACATTTCATCTAAATAAATGATTTCATATTTCAATGAATGAAGAGCATCACAATAACAATTGACTCACAATACATCTCTGGGTCAATCTTAAAACAATTCTCATTGCTTTTGAACTGAGAAAAGATAAATTTCTTAAGATGATCACACGATATAAGTAAACAAAAAATTACTTGATATGATTATTTTCCACAAATATAAGCTTCTTATGCGATCTGATAAACATTTGTAGCAAGTTCCAAAGCAAATTTTACTATTAGACATTTCGAAGATCGATCGCGAGCCGTTAATTAACTATTCTCAAAATTAAGACCGAAGGTAGGCAAATATAAAGATAGACGAGCAGTCGTGCGAACGGACGGATGTGGGGAACTTACTTGAAATCTTACACTTTCGAAATAATTATAAACACTTCAATACGTCTCCGCTAGCTTTTTCCATCAATTAGAAATGCAAGACCGAAGAGTGGCACGTATTCTTATAATGTTCCTCTCAATATATTATTGACAAATTGCCTGTATTGGCAAAGGATATCTATTTGCGCAGTCTGCGCTGGAACCGTAAAATTCGTCTTCAATACTCACGACACAGACCACTTCACGCTAATAAAGTCATCTATTCTAAGAAGCAGACAAATAATGCCATGTGTAACTTTCTTTCATAAGCTTCTGAATGGCATATGTGTCTCCAAGTTATTGCTATTCAAAGTAAACACAGTGGTTAACAAGGCCTTTTTCGGATATGTAATACAATTCGCTAGAGAACAAACTACGGTAGCAATTGTCGTATCCGAAGAATCTGGAAGCAATACAATAAGAACTATAACGTAATTGATTTTAGCGCGAGTTGTTCTATTGTAAAGCCGAGGATCATTGAGCACTTTGACACTCTATAGTAGATGACTTTTTCTGTCTTTGTTGACCATCAGCTGAACCTTTCTGTAGCTGATGGTTGCACTTCGCGCACTTCGGTTCGTTCTCTGCAGGTTACACACAGATGGTCCGTCTGTCGGTCAGAGGCGCAAAGGAAAAAAAATTGATGACAAAGGCATGTCAAATAGCAAATGGGCACGGATGTCGTTAACCTTTCCGCGACAGGTTTCATAGATATAAGGAAGTCAATTGGTGCATCACAGCGCCTGGTGCCTTAAAAACACAACCATTTCTGATATTATTTTGTACATTGCCAGCATACATTGCTAAGTACAATTCAGTTGCGGCGACGCGAAAGGCGGCAGACTACGGTACTAATGTGTCGTTCCGGAAGGCTTAAAGAAAATCCCATTTGGGCGTCCAAAATTCGGCGCAAGACCGGTATTGCCTTCTCTCTTTCCCGAGGCTCCCAAGAGATCGTAATTTCTCAATTTTCTATATTAATGTAGAAAGGATTGTTTTTAATTTTTTTAAGAGCAAATATAATTTTTATGGAAATCGTTTTTAGTAGGATGTAGCACACGCGTGTTTATGTGCAAAGGAATACTTGTATGCTTTGAACTTTTGCATGCATTTAAATACCTTTAGACATCTGCCGGTTTACAACTTTCAAAAAAATGCTGGCTTACGTACATCGTAGGTATAGAATTTGA